ACCGGAGGTTGTTCCAATAAAACATCAATTTTTGAGCTTTGTAGTTGGTGAATAGTCTGAGTGCTCTTCGAAGGATGAGAGAGATATTCGGAGTGTGATATTTGTTATGTCAACATTTTGTTTACTTTCTGGGAACTTGTGTTTTGCTGTTATTAGGATATGAAATTGACGGTTGGATTCTTGTAGTTAAACTCAACCAGCTGGTTATCTGATGGTTAAATCTTTCCTAACAGGCAACGGGTGTAAATAATTGTATTAATTAACAGATATATGGATGTAAAAACCATTCGGGTAACGGATGCATTCGGTGTAGTTAGATGTGTCAGGTAAAGGATGGCGTTGACAGATTTACTTTTTGACTTCTTCAAGTGACGTGTTTACCACGTGACGACTGCTGTGACGTATGTCCCACGTGATCATGAACTCCACGATTAAAATGAATGTGGCACTTGACGTTATGTTTTTTATTTTAAATCGTGACATGCGCCGCACGAAAACTCAATCACGTGACCAGTGAATATATTTTTAGCTGTTCCGCCATCGCTCTCTCTGGAAACGACGCCGTCAGGATTACCGTGATACCTGCTAAACTTGAGCGACATTTGGACCCGGGGAGTTAAAACTAATGCTAATTAGCTGAGTAATTATCGCATCTGTCATCAAGTTAATGATACTAACACGATAATGGCCAACCAGGAGAGAAAGAAATATTTGATCCGTCGTGTCTGATATTTTTTAGTGGTTGCACGTGATTTTAAAAGGTAATTGTAGTGGAATTATTGGTGGGATGTAGCTTTTAAGTGGCGCGTACTATTTAACTAAAGCTAGTGTTGTTTAAATAACAGCAGAATCCCATCTATGTTGGTAGCAGTGACATACCGACCGTGGGCACGGGAAACTAACTGGTCCTCTGAGTCCCAAGTAATCGTTTTTGTTTTAATTTGACGATAGAAAACCATAAGGATAGGTTAGGTTTGCCTGTCGTTCCTCCTGGGACATAGGCCGCTGACAAGAGCTTTCCGGACGTCTCTGTCCTGGGCTAGTCTCTCCAACTGTCCCCAGGTGTATCCAATCTTCTTGGTGTCTTCTTCCAGGTCACGTCTACAAGTCTTTATTGATCTGCCTCTTTTCCGTTTGCCATAAAGCATTTTATAAATATTGACAAGCGCCATTGAAAATGCGTCTAGCTTCACTTTATCAGGGGAACTAACCTTAGCAGTCACTTCCGCTTTCCGCATGTCGTTGTAGTTTCCTCTACTCGGTACATCACGTGGTCTCGGGACCAGGAATTTTTGTTCTCGTGCAGCTAGACCGCCTACACACAAACTTACATACAAAGTTACATACAAAGTTTCTACTAAAGACCGACCGAAATCAGAAGTTGAACAGTTGCGATCTACAAGCAAAGGGTACTAAAATCTGTTTGTAAATTGAGAAAGCGATTGGAATTATAAAACAAAGCATGCATATTTTCTTTGTCCAAATAATTGCTTTTTATGGGTTGGGTTTAGACACGTGGAGTTGGTATGTCATTATGTGAAATGGTACGTTTCGAATGTCCAGTTTAAGTCATACTTGTTGTATGCGTGTACAGTGATACTTTAGTTACCTTTCAACATCAGGTGAAACATTAAAAGACCACATTTTGGTGAAACTGTTTTTGGGTTAGAATTCCACAAATAGCCATTCACCTCACAATCACAGGGTACATCGTAGGTAGTGGACATTAGGTGATGGGTTCAAAGAGACTGACCGCTGTGACAGGACAATAGTAGTCTTTATGATGACCCAACAACCCCCAGAGACACACACGTTAGTGAGAAACAGAGCCCCACACATTAGTGAAACCCAAGAACCCCACACATTAGTGAACCCCTCAGAACCCCACACATAGTGAACCACAGAGCCCCACACATTAGTGAACCCCTCATGGCCCCACACATTAGTGAAACACTCAGAACCCCACACATTAGTGAAACACTCACAGCCCCACACATTAGTGAAACACTCACAGCCCCACACATGAATGAAACCCTCAGAGTCCAACACATTAGTGTCCCACACAGCCCCACACATTAGTGTCCCACACAGCCCCACACATTAGTGTCCCACACAGCCCCACACATGAATGAAACCCTCAGAGTCCAACACATTAGTGTCCCACACAGCCCCACACATTAGTGTCCCACACAGCCCCACACATTAGTGTCCCACACAGCCCCACACATTAGTGTCCCACACAGCCCCACACATTAGTGTCCCACACAGCCCCACACATTAGTGTCCCACAGAGCCCCACACATTAGTGTCCCACACAGCCCCCACATATCGCTGAACCTCTAAGCTGTCCGAAGGCCGTAAAGCACGAGCCAGATTTCTCAAAGATCAATGTTTAGGATCTGCCAGTTTGGCGGCCAGGAAATGGAGACACAGCATGTCATTTTATATACAGGGGAGAATGGGGACATTGGACATTGATTTTAGCTGGCGAGAAACGAAGGTTAAATAGGGCAAACGATATATATATATATATATATATATATATATATATATATATATATATATATATATATATATATATATATATGTATATATATATATATATATATACACACACACAGACACACAGACACACACACACACACACACACATATATATATATATATATATATATATATATATATATATATATATATATATATATATATATATATATCGCTGAAGAAACAGTGTAATTAACTTGGCTATAATTTAAAAGCTTTTTCCCATTTTCCTTAATTAACAATGTTTTTATTTTCCATTAAACAAATATATCAAATCCTCCACGATGGCTCTCTACTGTATATCTTCGCTTTCATGATACCAGTAGAGCTTACGGCAATGTCAAGTCAATAGAAACAATGACCATCTACATATAATATTATGTTTTCCAACCCATAAATTTTAACTAATTGAAAAAAATCTTTGTATTAAAATAAAAGCAAAGCCAATTATTGGTTTATTTTGGTTTTATTTTTATTCTAAATTTTTTTTACTCTGTTGTAGTGTTAGAAATGTATTAGAGTAGAAATTTTTATTTTGTTTTCTATTATTTCCCGGTTACATTTTTAGTTTTTTTTCGTTTTGTTCTTAGTTTGTGTTGCTGACACCCCTACATGTGGCTGCAATGGACGAGTCTACCAGACCCACCCTTGCGCCAATAGATCTAAATGCCGGCGTGGTAAACGAAGCTTGCAGCACTTGTGATCTCGACGACACGGGCGAGGCAGCCATTGGCTCGGCATGGGGCGATGAGACTGGATGTCACGGAGATGACCCCGTGGCATGCCGGGACGACAACGAACCACTTTCAGACACCGAGCGTGGCCTTGACCTTCATGAAACGGTTGTTGAAGTAATGGTGACTGATGCTGGACATGGTCATCCAAAGAACGAAGCTGACGTCAGAACAGACAAGATTGACGACAACCACGGAGACAGCTCATCCACAGCAGACAACAACAACGGAGACAGCTCATCCACAGCAGACAGCAATCACGGGGATAGCTTATCCACATCGGAAAGCAGCCTGGGGGATAGTTTATCCACAGTGGATATCAGCCCCTCGGGGAGTTTCTCCAAAATGAACAACGGCCTTGTGGGGGACCTGCCCTCGACAGAAATAGTTCACGTCCAGAATGTGAGCACAGCACGCTACAGCTCCCTGAAGAACTCGCACCACAGATCTGCGTCCTGTTGCTGTCCTCGAGATACGCTCAACCGGCCCGCACAATGTTGCTGTACCCGCGTCGACTTCAGCAGGTCGGCGTCGTGCAAATACCCCCAGTCCTTCAACATCTTTGCCTTAGCCTCTGCCTCTAAGAAAAGACTCCCCGGTTCAAACGGACTCTTTCACACTGAGTTACCTGCCCTTAATCCACCGGAAACCCCCACGTTATTTGCATATCCGCTTAAGCCTGCGGACGTGCACCAGGAAATGACGTCACTCCCGGCTGTCCAAACCATCTTCACCGTATCCAGGGACGCTAAAAGTATCGAAGCATCTTCTTGTGTTATTGAAATGGTAATGTTGTCTTGTAACTTTCCCATCCTAGGTTTCCGTTCTTGTTTATTTTATTTTTTAAATTTTAGTATTGTTTTTGTATATTTTTTCAACCATTTGATTTGGAAAATCTTTGCCGCACAATCTAAGACTTAAAGATAGCGCAATTTAACATGTATTTAAAATGTAATAATGTTTATCGTACGCAACATTCATATATTTATTTGAAGAAGCCCACTGTATTCGGAAAAGAAAACAAAAGTAAAACTATATTGTTTTGATTAAAATTGCTTTAAAGTAAATCGGCTATTCACATTGTTGTATTAATACAACATAAACGGAAACAAAATATTCATACATTTTGGTTTAAGCGTCATACATACCCCAAACCCAGTGCCGGCGCCAGGTTATTTAGCGCCCTAGGCAAAATTTATTAAAAGCGCCCCCCCCCCCGCAATTTTTTCGTGCCCTCGTATTATCAGAGGCGTAGCGACCCTTCCCGGCGCCCGGGGACAAACTTTCGATTTGCACCCCCCCCCTCAAACTTTCGATTTGCACCCCCCCCCTCAAACTTTCGATTTTTTGCATCCCTACTCAAACTTTCGATTTGCACTCCCCTCAAACTTTTGATTTGCTCCCCCCTCAAACTTTCAATTTATTTGTTCAACCCATTTTGGCGCCTCCCATACGGACAGCGCCCTAAGCGACCGCCTAGTTCGCCTTATAGGTAGCGCCGGCCCTGCCCAAACCTGACACCACACTACCACCATAGGTAACCTTGTTTAACCCAAACCTGACACCACATTACCACCATAGGTAACCTTGTTTAACCCAAACCTGACACCACATTACCACCATACGTAACCTTATTTAACCCAAAACCTTACTGTATGACACACACAATCACCCAACAATTAAGACAGTGATATTTTACCTGACGTTGACTTCTGATTCCAGAAAATCTTGCAGAAGACTGAGTCTCACAATGGCGGTCATGCCATCGCCGAGAGGTGCGACTCCACGCTGTCCACAGTGTCGGAGAAACTGGACATCTGCAGGATCTGTCACTGTGAGAGGGAGGAGAACAACAGGTCAGTCACGTGATAGTCTCTACATAGGGGGGGGGGGGGCGGACATTTGCAGGATCTGTCACTGTGAGAGGGAGGAGAACAACAGGTCAGTCACGTGATAGTCTCTACATAGGGGGGGGGGGGGCGGACATTTGCAGGATCTGTCACTGTGAGAGGGAGGAGAACAATAGGTCAGTCACGTGATAGTCTCTACATAGGGGGGGGGACATCTGCAGGATCTGTCACTGTGAGAGGGAGGAGAACAATAGGTCAGTCACGTGATAGTCTCTACATAGGGGGGGGGACATCTGCAGGATCTGTCACTGTGAGAGGGAGGAGAACAATAGGTCAGTCACGTGATAGTCTCTACATAGGGGGGGGGGACATCTGCAGGATCTGTCACTGTGAGAGGGAGGAGAACAACAGGTTAGTCACGTGATAGTCTCTACATAGGGGGGGGGGTGGACATCTGCAGGATCTGTCACTGTGAGAGGGAGGAGAACAACAGGTTAGTCACGTGATAGCCGCTACACGGGGGGGGGGGTGGACATTTGCAGGATCTGTCACTGTGAGAGGGAGGAGAACAACAGGTCAGTCACGTGATAGCCGCCTACATGGGGGGGGGGACATCTGCAGGATCTGTCACTGTGAGAGGGAGGAGAACAACAGGTTAGTCACGTGATAGCCGTTACATGGGGTGGGGGGGGGGTGGACATCTGCAGGATCTGTCACTGTGAGAGGGAGGAGAACAACAGGTTAGTCACGTGATAGTCTCTACATGGGGTGGGGGGGGGTGGACATCTGCAGGATCTGTCACTGTGAGAGGGAGGAGAACAACAGGTTAGTCACGTGATAGCCGCCTACATGGGGGGGGTGGGGGGTGGGGGTGGATATCTGCAGGATCTGTCACTGTGAGAGGGAGGAGAACAACAGGTGAGTCACGTGATAGTCGTCACATGGGGAAGGGGGGGGGGGTTGTCGGGTCGGGCAAAGACAAAATATGCTCAGGATACCACATTGTTTTATAGTTCACCAAACGCTTACCCAAAGGTTACAATGTTATGTAAAACTATAAGAGAATTGGTGAATATAAACGCAATGTATTTCATTTTTATTCTAATAAACATAGGCTTGCAACATACTTAAGCTATCTAGTTACCATCTTCTCTAGCATGACACCATCTATCATGACACCATCTATCATGACACCATCTATCATGACACCATCTATCATGACACCCTCCATCATCACACCCTCCATAATGAGATCCTCTATCATGACACCCTCTGACACCCTCCATCGTGACACCCTCCATCATGACACCCTCCATCAGCACCTTCTATGCTGCAAGTAACAATCGTTTTAAAAATCACATGAAGCATAAAATCACATTCAACTTTTCAAGTATTTTCAACACTTTAATTCAGACTATTTTTTACTTATTTTCCCAGTATATTTGACACTTGCCTAATGTTATCCTAGACTTATCTCCCCCTGCCTGTGTTCCGGAAGTCTCAAGTACATCCACCTCTCGTGTCTGCAGAAGTGGATCAAAAGCTCCGATAAAAAATCCTGCGAACTCTGCAACTTTGATTACATCATGGCCACAAAGACTAAGCCTTTTAAAGAGGTAATGGGCTCTTTGCTGTAGAATGTACAACAGTACATCCCATATTTGTAACAGGCCCTTCGGGGGTGGGGGTCGGAAAACAGCTGGAAAAAAATAATAGCACAGGGTAGGGAAGGATGTGCACTAAGGAAAATTAATTACGAGGTAGAGTTAGCACTAATGTTGAATTGTACTTTTGTTTTCGTCTTGGTATAATTATGAGACAGAGAATACAATCATCAAGTCACGGTTGTTTCTGGTGGTCTAGAAAGTTTCCGTTCTTATACTTGAAGATGGTGGCATATGTCAACAAAACTTTGGGGCATGTGTTTGCGCATGCGCTGACAACTACTCACAAAAATTTCGGCCATTTTGGACGCGCAGTTATTGTTTGATAGTCGTATGAATAAGACGAAGCCGCTATGTGAACTCATGGGTCGGCTGAAAATGCAACAACTGATGAAAATATCGCTCAAGTTCACCAAATGGTTAAGGCTCATGTCCAATGTGTGTTAGAGCTTTAGCGAAGTCTGTGAAAACGTACAAAGAACTTGGCTGTAGGATATTAAAACAAGAACCAATCGTGTGAAAGTTGAGCTATGTTGCTAAATCTGGACCAAAACGTGTTAATATAGCTCATAAACTGGTTGAAGGAATCAATAGTTTTTAAACAAATGGATGAATACACAACGAGTATAGAGTTACAGTGATGGCGAAGTTCTGTAGCCGGGTGCCATGGCAACAGGATATTGTTGACAAATATAGTAGAATAAAAGCAAATATGAGCCTGCCATATACGTCTATAATATATAGCATGACATGGCGGGTAAGGTAAAGAAGAGATTGAAAACTTTGCAACGAGATCACAATCCTTACAAATTTAGTTTTAAATTTGTGAAAAATGTAGCTGTAAAACTGTTGTATGTTTGAAAAAAAAATCATACAGGAAAAATCCTGGGTTGCCAGGAAAAAATCCCGGTGGGTTGCCAGGAAAAAATCCCGGTAGTTGCTAGGATCAGTGCTGTAATAGGCCTTTTAGTTCTTTTTCTTTTTAATGTATTTTTAAATTACCCCTTGCAATTTGTAGTTAATTAAAATTATGGTCTACTGCAATCTGTCAAGTGACCCGTGGTTTGTAGACATCGATGATAAACACAGACTGAAACCGTTTAGATACAGCCAGTTCACCCCTGAATCAAATAATACATCCAAAATTTTAAGCAACTGTTATTGAATTAATGTATCATCATTAATAAGAAGGCACTGAAGATGGCCGGCAACTTGTCTAAAACTGGTCCAATGAAGTAGGCTGTGTCTATAAATATAATAGTCTTTTTGTGAAACGTTTGAAAACGTTTTTAAATTGGAAAATCAAAAATTTTATATTATCTTTAGTTTGTAAATGTTTAGTAAGGCTAGCTGAAAGTGTGTAAATTCCGTTTTATTTTGTTTTACAATTTTTGTGGAAAAAGAAATTGCGATGTACGAGAAGTTGTATGATGTCCTGTATGTTATATGTCAACTTAAGTTGTATGATGTCCTGTATGTTATATGTCAACTTAAGTTGTACGATGTCCTGTATGTTATATGTCAACTTAAGTTGTATGATGTCCTGTATGTTATATGTCATCTTAAGTTGTATGATGTCCTGTATGTTATATGTCATCTTAAGTTGTATGATGTCCTGTATGTTATATGTCATCTTAAGTTGTATGATGTCCTGTATGTTATATGTCATCTTAAGTTGTACGATGTCCTGTATGTTATATGTCATCTTAAGTTGTATGATGTCCTGTATGTTATATGTCAACTTAAGTTGTATGATGTCCTGTATGTTATATGTCAACTTAAGTTGTACGATGTCCTGTATGTTATATGTCAACTTAAGTTGTACGATGTCCTGTATGTTATATGTCAACTTAAGTTGTACGATGTCCTGTATGTTATATGTCATCTTAAGTTGTATGATGTCCTGTATGTTATATGTCAACTTAAGTTGTATGATGTCCTGTATGTTATATGTCAACTTAAGTTGTACGATGTCCTGTATGTTATATGTCAACTTAAGTTGTACGATGTCCTGTATGTTATATGTCAACTTAAGTTGTACGATGTCCTGTATGTTATATGTCATCTTAAGTTGTACGATGTCCTGTATGTTATATGTCATCTTAAGTTGTATGATGTCCTGTATGTTATATGTCAACTTAAGTTGTATGATGTCCTGTATGTTATATGTCATCTTAAGTTGTACGATGTCCTGTATGTTATATGTCAACTTAAGTTGTACGATGTCCTGTATGTTATATGTCATCTTAAGTTGTATGACGTCCTGTATGTTATATGTCATCTTAAGTTGTATGATGTCCTGTATGTTATATGTCAACTTAAGTTGTATGATGTCCTGTATGTTATATGTCAACTTAAGTTGTACGATGTCCTGTATGTTATATGTCAACTTAAGTTGTACGATGTCCTGTATGTTATATGTCAACTTAAGTTGTACGATGTCCTGTATGTTATATGTCATCTTAAGTTGTATGATGTCCTGTATGTTATATGTCATCTTAAGTTGTATGATGTCCTGTATGTTATATGTCAACTTAAGTTGTATGATGTCCTGTATGTTATATGTCAACTTAAGTTGTATGATGTCCTGTATGTTATATGTCATCTTAAGTTGTATGATGTCCTGTATGTTATATGTCATCTTAAGTTGTATGATGTCCTGTATGTTATATGTCAACTTAAGTTGTATGATGTCCTGTATGTTATATGTCAACTTAAGTTGTACGATGTCCTGTATGTTATATGTCAACTTAAGTTGTACGATGTCCTGTATGTTATATGTCAACTTAAGTTGTACGATGTCCTGTATGTTATATGTCATCTTAAGTTGTATGATGTCCTGTATGTTATATGTCAACTTAAGTTGTATGATGTCCTGTATGTTATATGTCAACTTAAGTTGTACGATGTCCTGTATGTTATATGTCAACTTAAGTTGTACGATGTCCTGTATGTTATATGTCAACTTAAGTTGTACGATGTCCTGTATGTTATATGTCATCTTAAGTTGTACGATGTCCTGTATGTTATATGTCATCTTAAGTTGTATGATGTCCTGTATGTTATATGTCAACTTAAGTTGTATGATGTCCTGTATGTTATATGTCATCTTAAGTTGTACGATGTCCTGTATGTTATATGTCAACTTAAGTTGTACGATGTCCTGTATGTTATATGTCATCTTAAGTTGTATGACGTCCTGTATGTTATATGTCATCTTAAGTTGTATGATGTCCTGTATGTTATATGTCAACTTAAGTTGTATGATGTCCTGTATGTTATATGTCAACTTAAGTTGTACGATGTCCTGTATGTTATATGTCAACTTAAGTTGTACGATGTCCTGTATGTTATATGTCAACTTAAGTTGTACGATGTCCTGTATGTTATATGTCATCTTAAGTTGTATGATGTCCTGTATGTTATATGTCATCTTAAGTTGTATGATGTCCTGTATGTTATATGTCAACTTAAGTTGTATGATGTCCTGTATGTTATATGTCAACTTAAGTTGTATGATGTCCTGTATGTTATATGTCATCTTAAGTTGTATGATGTCCTGTATGTTATATGTCATCTTAAGTTGTATGATGTCCTGTATGTTATATGTCAACTTAAGTTGTATGATGTCCTGTATGTTATATGTCAACTTAAGTTGTACGATGTCCTGTATGTTATATGTCAACTTAAGTTGTACGATGTCCTGTATGTTATATGTCAACTTAAGTTGTACGATGTCCTGTATGTTATATGTCATCTTAAGTTGTATGATGTCCTGTATGTTATATGTCATCTTAAGTTGTATGATGTCCTGTATGTTATATGTCAACTTAAGTTGTATGATGTCCTGTATGTTATATGTCAACTTAAGTTGTACGATGTCCTGTATGTTATATGTCAACTTAAGTTGTACGATGTCCTGTATGTTATATGTCAACTTAAGTTGTACGATGTCCTGTATGTTATATGTCATCTTAAGTTGTATGATGTCCTGTATGTTATATGTCATCTTAAGTTGTATGATGTCCTGTATGTTATATGTCAACTTAAGTTGTATGATGTCCTGTATGTTATATGTCAACTTAAGTTGTACGATGTCCTGTATGTTATATGTCAACTTAAGTTGTACGATGTCCTGTATGTTATATGTCAACTTAAGTTGTACGATGTCCTGTATGTTATATGTCATCTTAAGTTGTATGACGTCCTGTATGTTATATGTCAACTTAAGTTGTACGATGTCCTGTATGTTATATGTCAACTTAAGTTGTACGATGTCCTGTATGTTATATGTCAACTTAAGTTGTACGATGTCCTGTATGTTATATGTCAACTTAAGTTGTACGATGTCCTGTATGTTATATGTCAACTTAAGTTGTACGATGTCCTGTATGTTATATGTCAACTTAAGTTGTACGATGTCCTGTATGTAATATGTCAGCTTCTTCTCAACTTAGGGCCTAGGCTTTGTGCTTGGAGTTCCAATGCGCAATCATCCAATGGTTTATTAGACTAGCAGCATCATTTACTGTTTGTGCCCAAAACACATGGGGCAGATGAAGTAGAGTTCATCTGCTTCAGAGACCTCGGCATATGAAAGTATAGTGTGGTCAGCACTATGCCCAGCCGCCTTTGTTTCTCTAACGTAAGTTAGTTACCTATCAGAGCTGGGCACGTTCATCTGATTTGAACCCGAATTCGAACTCGAGACTCTCGAGCAGTCTAGCTCTGTACCGCTAGGCCATGCCTTCCCATCTATAGAGTCCTTGCAAACACGTGACCTAAATCACGTGATACCTACGCCCGCCGCCACAGTGGTGTACATCAGACGTAAACACAATCAGCTGTTCGCCAGCGCTGGACGTGTTCACCAGCGCTGGACGTGTTCACCGTATGTAAAGAATCGCGCCCGCGGAAAAGGAAAAATATGTTAAAAAACTTGAACTCTTAGGAATTGAAGATCCTTATACAGTTATTGACAGTTTCGTGGATAATATAAATATGTAGCCGAAATTTCTAAATAAAAATACTGTTAGTAATACCGTTTGCGTTTAGAGTTTAAGTAGACGAAGCTGATCAAATGCAGTAATATATTATAGGTTATCTACTGTAGCAAACGTGAGACCACTTAACTCCTACAAAACCCACACTACAACGACTAATATAATCCATGGGTAATAACCAATCTGGGTAGCATGCTATACAATTTAAGACCCTTATAATCCAGCAGGGAAGTAATCAGACACATTAATACTGACATTCAACCCTCATGATGGCTGCCCCCACCTATATCTAGCCCACAATAAAACCTAAGAGGAGTCTGCCCTGCCCTCCCCTGAAAATGTCTCACCTCCGTGATACCCAGCCCCACAGAGATAGTATTTCTTATATAATTTTGACCCTCAGGGCCCAGCAGGGAGAACAAAGGGGAAAGTCCCACTGCTCTCCCCTCAACACTTCTCACCTCGGTGTCATGTTATGTCATTTATAGCACACATGGCTTATCAGGGGAAAGCATTAAGGCATTAAGAATCTTAACTCTGGAAAGCTACACACTAGTATACTAGCTACACACTAGGTGCCTACTGTAAACTACTAGACTGTAGGCCCTATGTAGACATGCAATTGTATCAATTGTAGACTGGGTCCATTGTTATTATTCTAAACCATCTCACTTATAATGTTTCTAGCTTGATTTGTTTCTTTTATAAATAGTGGATTTAACAAAAAAATTAGCCTAATCATTAACCAAATAATAATAATGTGGTTATTTGTTGTTGGCTGGTATGATCTAGATTGTACTACTAGGCTACAAAAACTTAGTAGACCAATTACTAGATATGAATTTGAATTCAATTAAACTCAGTCCAGTATCAGATACATATTGCTGTAAAAAGACAACAAAGTAGGTAGGCCTTAGTAATTTATTAAAGCCTTCTACTACAATAATATCAACTACATACTTGTATAAATTTTTTACAATTTAAAATAAGTAGCAGATTCTAGATCTAAGTCTAGTCATACAATCTATTTCAATTTCAGAAAATTTCGTTTGCTAAAAAAATGATTAGATAATAGAGCGAGATTTTAGATCTTAGAGACAATTAAATGCTTTATTAGGCCTATTAAAATATTATGACTACTTTTGATTTATTATGGGTGTATTTTGAATCGAATGTAGATCTAAAGTAATTAAATTTAAGTAAAGAAGTAGATTCTAGATTCTATGTCTACCCAGCGGAGCCAGGTATTAGGCCTACTATTAGATCTTATTATTCTTATTATTACTTTTGACTTTGTCTTTTACTATTAGTATTTGTGAAGGTCGAGCATATTTGTTTTATTAATAGTTATCTTTTATAATTAAAATGAAGTTTATTATTTTACTGTCCTTACCTGAAACAAAGTATCAAGAACTGCATTTGATCAGATTCGGCTACTTTAACTCTAAACGCAAACAGTATTACTAACAGTATTTTTATTTAGAAATTTTGTCCACATATTTATTTATACGAAACTGTCAATAACAGTATAAGGATCTTCAATTCCTAAGAGTTCAAGTTTTTTAACGTATTTTTCCTTTTCCGCGGGTGCGGTTCTTTACATACAGTGAACGCGTCCAGCGCTGGTGAACACGTCCAGCGCTGGCGAACAGCTGATTGTGTTTACGTCTGGTGTACACCACTGTGGCGGCGGGCGTAGGTATCACGAACGGACGTGACGTCATATGAAAGGACTCTATTAGACTATTGAGCCATATATTTCAACTTCAAATATGAGAACTTTAAATATGATATCTTGTATGCTTTATTTCATCTTTCAGTAGGCGCAGTTGTATTGTATATTGTATGTTTTATTTTATCTTCCAGTGGGAGAAGCTTGAGATGACCCCCGCTGAGCGGAGAAAGATCGCGTGCTCCGTGACCTTCCACATCATCGCCATCACGTGCGTCATCTGGTCCCTCTACGTCCTCATCGACCGCAGCACGGAGGAGGTGCACTCCGGGTCGCTGGAGTGGCCGTTCTGGACCAAACTCATCGTGGTGGCCATCGGCTTCACGGGCGGGCTGGTCTTTATGTACGTGCAGTGTAAGATGTACATCCAGCTGTGCCTGAGGTGGCGTCAGTACAACAAGCTCATTCACATTGACAATGCCCCGGAGGATCCCGAGCTGAGGGCAGAGGCAGCGGCCAGGATCAAGGCACGTGCCACAGAGAAACACGGCGTGGTCAACACTGTGGCACTGCAGGAGGTCGATACGTTTTAGCTCTTGTGGGCCTGGGGTTAACAGGTTTAACCCTTGTGGGCCTGGGGTTAACAGGTTTAAGTCTTGTGGGCCTGGGGTTAACAGGTTTAACCCTTGTGGTCCTGCAGGTGGTCGATACGTTTTAGCTCTTGTGGTCCTGGGGTTAACAGGTTTAACCCTTGTGGTCTTGCAGGAGGTTGATACGTTTTAACTCTTGTGGTCCTGGGGTTAGAAGGTTTAACCCTTGTGGGCCTGGGGTTAACAGGGTTAACCCTTGTGGGCCTGGGGTTTTAAGGTTTAACCCTTGTGGGCCTGGGGTTAACAGGTTTAACCCTTGTGGTCTTGCAGGAGGTTGATACGTTTTAACTCTTGTGGTCCTGGGGTTAGAAGGTTTAACCCTTGTGGGCCTGGGGTTTTAAGGTTTAACCCTTGTGGGCCTGGGGTTAACAGGTTTAACCCTTGTGGTCCTGGGGTTAACAGGTTTAACCCTTGTGGTCCTGGGGTTAACATGTTTAACCCTTGTGGTCCTGCAGGTGGTCGATACGGTTTAACTCTCGTGGACCTGGTGTTAAGAGGTTTTAACCTTTTCGGACCTGGGGTTAACTGGTTTAACTCTCGTGAACCTTGGGTTAACAGGTTTAACCCTTGTTGACATTGAGTTAGTAGGTTTGACCTTTATTAAACCAGGGTTAACAGGTTTTAACCCTCCCTTACCTGCATCTCGGGGTTGATAGACTTTAACCATCCTTCTTCTGAAATGTTTGAAAGTTTAACCCTTCTGTGATTGAATGTAGAAGTTGGACTCTAATACTAAACGTGTGGTGATTATCCTAACCTGCTTGAATCTGACATCAGACATGTTAGGGTTTTAGTTTATACAATCATTTTAACACGTCTTGAAACCAGAGGAACTAAACTATGCTGTCTTTAAAAGTTAGATGTCAAGATCTCTAATTTTTTTGAGTCTGAAAGTCTAACCAGAGACACAAATCTGTCTTAAAGGGTTAAATAAGTTACAATCTCTAGTCTTAGTGAGGTTGATGTCTAACCAAAGACATACAACTATACCGTCTTTAAGAGAATATACGTTAACTAGTCTAAGTGAGGCTGAAGGTCTTTCATGGAAGGAAGCACGTCTTTTACTGTGTACAAACGATGTCAGTTTATGTAACAATGTTGTAGATTTTTTACTGTTAAAGCTATACCACTCAATGGATGCAACTATTTCATATTGTATTACTCCTGTATAGAGTGTATGTGTGTGTACAAATACTGCCTATGGTATTGCTAATGTACAGTGTGATTATATACAAACAAAGCTTGTTGTATTATGTACAGTGTGGATATATACACACAGCGTGTAGTATTACCTTTGTACAGAGTGTGTACAAACAGGGCTTCTTGTATTACTCCTGTACAGCTGGGATTGTGTACTTGTATAAAAGGTGTTTTATTTTGTGTACAACTTTATTTAGTTCTATTAAAACTGCCATATAATTTTGCTACCTTTATAGATGTGGCAATTTAAATTTCCAAATGGTTTAGGTAGATTCCCGAAACTGGCTGTTAAAAAAAATTATAAATGTGCACAATTCTAGTCCTATTTCATTAATACATTATAATCAAACAACCAACATAAAAAAACATACTTGCAAGTTTTACAAGTTTTTTACAATAGCAATTTTTACTTACGAGGTTTAATTGTAGTGTATTGAGAAATATATTGCCCTTATGTCATGTAGCCCAAATATTTTGTAGCCCTAAACCCACGTAGCTGAAATACCAGTAGCCCAATGCGGTGTAGCCCTAATGCTCAGTAGATCAGTTGTCCTGTAGCCCAAAAACTACATAGCCCAAAACCCCTTAGCCCCTATAACCTCTAGTACAAATGCCCTAAAGTTCAAAAGCCCTCACAATCCTGAATCACGAGAACAAAAACATAGAAAACTTTTTTCCCATCTTGTAGAGGTTATTTTGTTGGAATAGCTACACATTTTATTGTCAATTTATTTGTTAATGAGGTAATATACAATTTAGTTAGCGATATCAAATTACACAACGATAGAGCCGGCATAATGAAGCAAATTAAAATATCTAATTATCTTTTATTTATACAGAACATTTATGTCGTCCAACTACGCTAATTATTATATTACTCATTGTAAAATTATTTTAAGATTTTAATGGTTCAGGTTTGTTTAGCCATTTGACACATTCCTGTCTTAGACCCAGACGCATTCCTGTCTTAGACACAGACACATTCCTGTCTTAGACCCAGACGCATTCCTGTCTTAGACACAGACACATTCCTGTCTTAGACCCAGACTCATTCCTGTCTTAGACACAGACACATTACTGTCTTAGCCCCAGACACATTCCTGTCTTAGCCCCAGACACATTCCTGTCTTAGCCCCAGACACATTCCTGTCTTAGCCCCAGACACATTACTGTCTTAGACACAGACACGTCACTGTCTTAGCCCCAGACACATTCCTGTCTTAGCCCGAGACACATTCCTAGCCCCAGACACATTCCTGTCTTAGCCCTAGAGACATTCCTGTCTTAGCCCCAGACACATTCCTGTCTTAGCCCCAGACACATTCCTAGCCCCAGACACATTCCTGTCTTAGCCCCAGACACATTCCTGTCTTAGACCCAGACACATTCCTGTCTTAGCCCCAGACACATTCCTGTCTTAGACCCAGACATAACCGTCTTAGCCCCAGACACATTACTGTCTTAGCCCCAGACACATTTCTGTCTTAGCCCCAGACACATTCCTGTCTTAGCCCCAGACACATTCCTGTCTTAGCCCTAGACACATTCCTGTCTTAGCACCAGACACATTCCTGTCTTAGCCCCAGACACATTCCTGTCTTAGACCCAGACATAACCGTCTTAGACCCAGACACATTCCTTTCTTAGCCCCAGACACATTCCTGTCTTAGCCCCAGACACATTCCTGTCTTAGCCCCAGACACATTTCTGTCTTAGCCCCAGACACATTCCTGTCTTAGCCCCAGACACAACTGTCTTAGCCCCAGACACATTCCTGTCTTAGCCCCAGACACATTCCTGTCTCAGCCCCAGACACATTCCTGTCTTAGACCCAGACACATTCCTGTCTTAGCCCCAGACACATTCCTGTCTTAGCCCCAGACACATTCCTGTCTTAGTCCCAGAGACATTCCTGTCTTAGCCCCAGACACATTCCTAGCCCCAGACACATTCCTGTCTTAGCCCCAGACACATTCCTGTCTTAGACCCAGACACATTACTGTCTTAGCCCCAGACACAACTGTCTTAGCCCCAGACACATTCCTGTCTTAGCCCCTGACACATTCCTTTCTTAGCCCCAGACACATTCCCTACTTGATAAGCCAAGCTGGGGTAGTAGTTGAACGAAATTGTGTACTAAATTAGCCTAGACTTGACTAAATTAACTAACGGCAGCCTAGAGTACACTAAAGCTAGACTAATGGCAGCCTAGAGTACACGAAAGCTAGACTAATGGCAGCCTAGACTACACGAAAGCTAGACTAATGGCAGCCTAGACTACACGAAAGCTAGACTAATGGTAGCCTAGACTACATGAAAGCTAGACTAATGGTAGCCTAGACTACATGAAAGCTAGACTAGACTAATGGCAGCCTAGACTACATGAAAGCTAGACTAGACTAATGGCAGCCTAGACTACATGAAAGCTAGACTAATGGCAGCCTAGACTACATGAAAGCTAGACTAGACTAATGGCAGCCTAGGCTACATGAAAGCTAGACTAAGCTACTGGTGGCCTAGGTTACATCAAATCTCGACTAAACTGATGGCAGCCTAGACTACATGAAAGCTAGACTAGACTAATTTAGTCTACACTAATTGAACACTACACGGATAGTTTACGTGCAACATAACTCTGGCCAACGCTCTATACAATCCAATTTTTTTAAAAGGTACAATAAACAATGTTACAGCATAACATTTCTCTAGCTTGATATAAAGATATTTGAAGGTTGATGATGAACCTAATAATGCACTTGGTTAACTTTCGTTTGTTTTGTTAAAGAAATTAAGCTGCATAATTATTTAGGTTAATATAATTTAGTTGCATTATAATTCAAGTTGATATACTTCAGTGCATGGTTAATTATGCTTATGTTATGCAATATAATTTGCTGAAATTTAAGCTTACTTAACTTCTACCCTGTTAAACTTGTCCAATGTTGAAACAGTATAATTAAAATGACAATAGGAGCATGACATGCCACAATAACTTGACATGTAGATGTACCATAATAACTTGGCCAATAAATCTTAAATAACATGATATTTAGAGCTACCACAGAAATATGGCATACCATAATAGCTTAACATGTAGATGTACCATAATAACTTGACATGTAGATGTACCATAATAACTTGGCCAATAAATCTTAAATAACATAACATGTAGAGCTACCACAGGTTTGAGCGACCCCCCCCCCGCCCTGTTTGTATCAAGTGACCCCCTCCCCCTGCCTGTTTATATCAAGTGACCCCCCCCCCCCGCCCTGTTTGAGTGTATCAACAAAGTGTACAAACTTCTGTATGTGTGTGTGTGTGTGCTGTACACATCTCTGTAGCGGCGTGTACTTGAGGTGTACAGTAAATCTACTTTTGTTTTATAGGGGGCGTCCATAAATGAGGGCACGTCATTGAAGCCATTGTGATTCTTAAATTCTCATTTCTTGACCCCCTCCAATCCCTCATATTGCTTGACCACTCCACTCCCTCATATTGCTTGACCACTCCACTCCCTCAAGAACACTCACAATTCTGATCATTCCCCTATGTGTGACGTCATATATGGACGCCCCCCCCCCTCCTACGGTTAATTTTAATTGTAATTTCACCTCCCACCGTGCACCCCCCCCCCCAACCTTCACCAAACGAACTCTGCTGTAGCTAAATCTACATGAACTTAGAACATTCCACTAAATAAAACTTGTACGAAAATGTTATATCTCTATGTTATCAAATTGAAACGTTTTGTTTTTTCAAAAGTTGAATAAAATTTAACCGAATCTCAAAAATGTGTTGTTTTATTTGTGAGCACTCTAAAATAAGTGTACAGTATACTCTAAACTAGGCACGGTGGCTGGTCACAGTGCTGACCTCACTATAACTTCTGTATGCCGAGTTCACTGGAACTGATGGACTCTACTTCCTCTACTCCAATGTCTTAGGCACGAACGGGAAAGATGATGATATTCTAAACTCCTCTATGAAATTGTTTATTCCTATTAGTTGACGGTCGATGGGTAATCTTCACACGAAAGATGTTTTGTGATAATTCAAAAGTAATGTGTATTACTATTTCTTCCATAGCTAAACAGTTACAATATGAAGTCTAGTTGATAAAATTCCTCTCCGGTGTTTAGTGAAAAATGTGTCATATGTTTACGTACAGTCTTTGACTCAGGGCAGTTTAGACAGTGAATAGAAAAATTCATCTGATGGTTCAAGGGGAAACAACTAACGAAGTAGTACTTGTACTATTACACGAGTAATTTCCCTTCAATATTATATTGTTTTTGTTTCTAAAATATTGCTAGTTTAACTCTTTACGTACTTACAGTATCGTGTCGAGGTTTGCGAGGTGAAGTATCGTGTGGGCGGCTTGTGTGGGCAATATCGAGTGATGTGTGTGGGTAGCAGGCTACCGTGTGAGGTGGTAGATCTGTGGGCAATATCGTGAGGGGGATTTGTGTGGGCAGTATCGTATGTATATGTGTGTGTGTGTGTGTGTGTGTGTGTGTGTGTGTGCAGAGGCGTAGCGACCCTTCCCGGCGCCCGGGGACAAACTTTTCGATTTGCACCCCCACCCCACCGCAAAATTTCGATTTGCACCCCCCTCAAGATTTCGATTTGCACCCCCCTCAAACTTTCAATTTGCACCCCCTCAACGTATCAATTTATTTTTCCAACCCATTTTAGCGTCCCCTAAGGTCGGCGCCCGGGGACATATGCCCCCCCCCGCCCCCCCCCCCCTCGCTACGCTACTGTGTGTGTGTGGGAGGGAGGGGGTTGTGCGGGCAGTATTATATCAGGCAGATAGTGTGGTCAGGATCATGTGATGTCAAGGTGTGGACAGTATCGTGTGACGGTATCGTGTGGGCAGTATCGTGTGGGCAGTATCGAGGCCAGCTGTCATTAACTTCCCTCCTCTACACCCCCCCCCCTCGTGTTTACTGTCGTATGTACTACCTCGCGACAACTCCGAGGTTCAATTCTTTATATCAAATAGTCAATTTTAAATCACATAATTAATCACGACATCATGACACACTACAGAAAAACTAGCTGAAACTACCTGCTTACTTGCGTTAATTCATGACAATTTACCTCGACCCCACCCCCCACCCCAATTCCCCCCCCCCCCCCCAATGTACCTCTTAATTTAATTTTGTTACTACATGATCATTTACCTCAACCCCCACCCCCACCCCAATTTCTCCTCCCACACCTGCTTAATTTTGTTACTTCATGACCGTTTACATCGACCCCCCCACCCCCCCCCCCCCCCACCCCCATCTGCTTACGTTATCAAATAATTATTCAAACACCCAACTTTCTTTGTTGTTACTTGTGTCTATTCAACTCTCGCACATGTATGTTTACCTTCCTTATGGTCCGGTATGCAAAGTCTATTGACACTTCTAATAAATCATCTATAGCCAAGCTATTGGAACGTCAACTTACCGGCGGATAGCTCGAACACAACCCCCCCCCCCCCGTCCAAATTTGTGTGTGGGTATAAATGCCAAACACAGCCGGAATACATTTTTTTCTTGCTAGAGGGCTACTGGGTATTTGCTGTTCAATGAAGCGTAAATCCTCAATTCTATCGCACCGTCCCACACTGCACCACGTCCAATCGTTCTACCTGTATGTAACCAAATTTCTACCCCCCCCCCCCTTCTCATACACGTACATCTACCGTACCCCACCCCAACCCACTCAATATTCAAGTTACAGACAAACAAGTACGCGACCCCCCACCTCCACCTCCACTTCCACCCCAAACCCTTCCAAAACTCTAGCCAATATTTGAGCGCCAAATCGTACCTTGTAGCGAGTATCCTAAGTTGGAAATCTGTCAAGTGTATCGTCTGCTAAAGCTTCACGTCAACTGTATCGTCTGCTTGGGGTGCACAGGGATCAATCAAAGCCGGATATCGAATGACGAGACCCAGATAAATATTTGTAATGTATAGAGTAGACCAAGACGGCAACTTGAATAGAGCATTCTTGATTAGAGTTTGAATGAATTGTGAACTGAGTTCTGGCACCAGATGGTATCACTTGTTCTAGAGCTTACGTTAGATCTCCGAATAGTTGGCAGATTGTTAGCTACTAGCTGTGTGGCTGTCAGCTAGCCAGTCCGAGTTAGCACAAGCTACCTTCGTGGTAGCCCTAGTCAGACCTGTAGCAGACTGAGCGTCTAACAAAGCTACACAACTATTGTGTAGCTACCGGCTACTGACTAGCAGAGAAATATCACACCGTGGAAGTTTCTGGTTTGGAGGCTACTGGGAAGACAAAACGTCAACAATTGAATGAGTTAACAAGGGAGGTGACCATGTTTATTGGAACAGGTGAGTACACTCCCTTTGACATTTTTTTTCTTTTGTTTACTATTTTAATTATCTTTAACTTAATTCAGAGCTGATTGCTGTTGTGAACTGTCAGATTGTAGAAATTAGATACCCTCCAAATTTTAAGTCCCACAGACTGTTTGAACTTCAAAACTTATTAGGAAAAAAAATAAAACAATTAAGTTTGTTTACCAATTTACAGACATTGGTCTGTATGTTGAGGTACGCAACACGAGGGAAAAAAACAGACAAATTACAACAAAGTTACTTAACAAAGTATTCAGAATACAAAAAACAGCTAATTGTCTTTATATACACAGCAACCCACATGATCAATACCATAACACATACACGCATACGACACACCTACACACAAATACATGACAGAGCCTAATATATAGCAACATAACATTAGTCACCACTATAATAGCAGGCAGTATTACCAATTAAGCAATAATTTTATTAATCGAATAAACACATTAGACCAAAACTTGTTTACTACGTAATATTTCCAGAACCTTCATTGCTAAAATTAACCTAGTTTGATGTTCAATATTTAAAACTATAAACAACTATTTTCGATACCTATACTGTTTCCTTCAATACGATCCGGTTAACTGGTCCTGTATGAACTAGTCCTTGGGGTTAAGATTGTATTGATGTCTCGCTGAATAGCCGGCCTTTGTGGAGAGATTTCCTCTAAGGCGGTGTTCAGTCGGAACGACGTGGCCACATTGCCGTCTCGTTATGGGGTCATGGGTAGCTTACCGCTGGTTGGGTTTGATATAACTGTAAATATACCGGGTGGGGGGGGGGGGGGTTACAGGTTGTTTGTGGGGATTAAGTATTATCTAAAAAGGTTGTTTAAAGCTTGGAGTTTTGTGAAGTTACTTGTATCGTAATGAATGTGTGAGTTAAATGGAGTCGTAATTACCAGGTTCGATAACTTGGTACTATTCCTTTAGGGGTACCGTAGTAAGGCCTACACATCTTGTTTAGTAGGTAATAGTTTTTGTGTATGTAGTCATTAGGGTGTTACGGTTAGATTAGAGTGATAAGGCTGTGCTTTTGTTTTATGGTTTATGGAGTTAAGGTAACTTACGTTTTACATTAGGATTATATAGTGGATATAAATAGTCGTTTAATATAATTAGGTTAAAATTTAGACAATAATCGATTTTCAGCTATATAATGTAGCATATAGCATTCAACATTATGGGCAATGTAATTTGAATTTATTTTTCAATTTTTGTATTATATTAAAAAATATTTAATGATAGGGCTAGCTGTACAAGTATAAAGGAAAAGGTCTACTTGCAATTTTCTAATGTTTGAAATCAAAAGCGGGCCGCGCTTTTATAAAGTGAGTTACTTCTATAGCCAACATAAAAACATCAGAAATTCATTAAAAAACGTCTGTCAAAGGGAAACAACTTCAGGTCTGTAAACATCCGTACTACATCTTTCAGAACCAGTTTCCCCATCTCTTAATGGTTGAATAACATTCTATAGGCAACATGGTAAGAAAAAACTCAACACGAGTCAGAGAGACTCGGCTTAATATACAAGTCGACACCAACGTACCAGACCCGCATCTAGACTACACTAAGTAGAGACAATAAAACTTATCAACTTTCATGGAATGAAATGCTTAAATCATTATCGGTTTCCCTAGTTATCAGTATTTGGAATTGGCAACGTATGTATAACACTAAGACTGACAGTTAAGTTATTGTCTAGCTGTGCTGTGTAAACAACATAACACAAATCGGATTATATCTGTAAACAATAGCATATCATGACCACGTAAATGCCGGGTCCAGCCGCTGTGACTTTCCCTAACGTGTCAGGTACCCATTAGAGCTGAGTGGACTCCATGACATCTGACTAAAATACGAATTCGAGACTTTCGGGTTAGTTGTCGAGCGCTCTACTGTTCGACCACGCCGGGCTTAAATTCGGAACTTACTACATCATCCATTCTTATGCCAAGGTCAGATAAACAGGTGGACTCTACTTCACCTCTTCTATTGACCGTCAGTCTGGAAAAGTAACTTCACTTTTTCAAGTCGAGTCGCTGAAGTTGTGTGGTAGAGCGCTTGACAGACTGAACCAGAACTTTTAAGACGGACCAGAAATATGCTGACCACACGATTCCTTATATGCCCACATTAATGATCAAAATAAGTTGTAACATAAATAATGGCTAAAAAAGAAAGCAACCAAACACTATAACTTAACATTCTACTTTCGTTTTAAAACCAACTTGTATCATTACAGGTCAACATTTCGCCTGAGTGGAGCAGAGTCCATGACGTAGGCGCATGTTCCTCAATATGGAGTCTCGCCACTTCCGGTGGATGACCATCGACGACATAACTTAGCGCGGCCATTGACCTTCACCTCACCAGCAAGCGATGCCGGCGCCGCCTAAAATAGTTCTCACCCTGCCGGCGCTCACGGACGACGGCACGGAAAAGGTCAAGGTCAAGTCGCTGAAGAAATTCCGGGAGAAGGCGGAGGAGCACCGGCTGTGGGTGGACCAGGAAGTTTTCCAGGAGCAGGAGTATGACAGGCGTCGCATGGAGAAGCGCAGACGGAAGAAGGAAAAGCAAAGAGACAAAATGTACCGCGCCAGGAGGAAGTGTTACATCCCCGCGGTAACCGTGGCGGTCGTGGGTTCGATTCTGCTGATGGTGAGCAGTATCGATAACCTCGCGGGGAAATCGATATTTTTTACACACAGGGAAGCTTTCCAGATCTGCGGTGGCGTGATGCTGGGATTCGGTGTGTTGATGGTGATGGTTGTTGCCGGAATAACCTACCGGAGTCCGGAGGAGAGACACGCGAAACTTAAAAACTTCAACGCCGTCGGAAATTCCTACACGGATCTAAATACCAGTTGCGATGATGTAAACAAACATAGCATTATTGAAAAACTTCCAAAGGAAACTGAAATCAACAGTTTAAAGAAATCTCGCGATGAAAATTTAAAAGGTTTGATTACTCTTAAAGGGCTTAACTCTGAACAAACGTCTGCGGCTTTTGCAAAAACGTGGGTGAACAACCATTCTAAAATATTTGAAAGGTCGGCCTCATCCCTCAGACGACAATACAGCGACCCCGTACTGGACCAGAGCCTGGCCATACGTCGTCTGCTAGCGTGGCAGCAAGCCTACTACCCCCCGGTTCCAGACTTGTCCTGCACCAACTGCCCTCATGAAGCCCGACCTTGCCCTATTTATTCCCTGACATCAACATCTTCTTCTGGGTATAAGAGTTACATCACTTCCGTTTCAGCAACTTCCGGTTGTGGCACTAAGAACGGACAAACTAAGGGACGTAAGCACGTTATTAGAATGCAATCCGAAGGGGAAGATTACTCAGTTCAAATCCACAACCCTCCTAGAAACGGGAAAACCCGGGGTTGTGATGAAAATTCAGAGGCCAACCGGCCACATTTATTTTGTCAGCAGGCTGATAAAAAATCTGGCACGAACTCTGACGACCTGACCTTTGACCCCGAGAGGCGCGAGTCCGGGGACCTTGTGCCGTTTCCACCCCTGTCACCTGACATCTCACGTCTGCCGTACCTCTGCGAGTAGCAGACGTTTTCTGGAACATTCCTGCAACCATAACAGTATTTTATGTTATAACAATATACAAAACCCACATACAGTGGTCATATAAATCTAGATCTACTTATGGAACGCAACATTTGTGGGTTTAAAAAAATGTATCTACCATCTATACATTTATAATTATGTTAAGTATTTGATGATGTTTCGTTTACTTTTCTCAACCCAATGACAATAAATGACCACGTGACAATTTGTTTACTCCGTATAGTAATTACATGGTTGTACTATGTGGGGTAATGGATATAAATATATAAATATTATAGTAATGTGTGTGTGCGTGTGTGTGTGTGTGTGTGTGTGTGTTTGCATTTTTATACGATCTCAGTATGTTAGATAACTAAGTGACCTTTAAGCTATAGTGTAGTAATTCGACAGTCGTTTGGTGAGTTAGGATTAACATAAAGCCGTTACAATCAGCGGATCAACGCCTACTAGACATTGACATCTGTAGCTTACAACAAAGGCTAATTCACTAAATTCCAATCACACAATCAATGTCACCTATTCACTATTCACACAAATCACACAGAACATCAACGACTAACACAACATCACAGATCTTAACACAGACATCACACAGATCTTAACACAAACATCCCACAGATCTTAACAACCACAGATCTTAAGATCTACACAAATCACACAGATCTTAACACAGACATCACACATCTTAACACAACATCACACAGATCTTAACACAAACATCCACAGATCTTAACACAACATCCACAGATCTTAACACAGACATCACACAATCTAACACAGACATCACACAATCTTAACACAACATCACACAGATCTTAACACAACATCACACAGATCTTAACACAACATCACACAGATCATAACACAAACACAGACTCACATCTAACACAAACATCACACAGATCTTAACACAAACTCAATCAACACAACATCACACAGATCTAACACAACATCACACAGATCTTAACACAAACATCACACAGATCTTAACACAGACATCACACAGATCTTAACACAAACATCCCACAGATCTTAACACAAACATCACACAGATCTTAACACAAACATCACACAGATCTTAACACAAACATCACACAGATCTTAACACAAACTTCACACAGATCCTAACACAAACTTCACACAGATCTTAACACAAACATCACACAGATCTTAACACAAACATCACACAGATCTTAACACAAACATCACACAGATCTTAACACAAACTACACACAGATCTTAACACAGACATCACACAGATCTTAACACAAACTTCACACAGATCTTAACACAAACATCACACAGATCTTAACACAGACATCCCACAGATCTTAACACAAACATCCCACAGATCTTAACACAAACATCACACAGATCTTAACACAAACATCACACAGATCTGAACACAAACAACACACAGATCTTAACACAAACATCGCACAGATCTTAACACAAACATCATACAGATCTTAACACAAACATCACACAGATCTTAACACAGACATCACACAAATCTTAACACAAACTTCACACAGATCTTAACACAAACTTCACACAGATCTTAACACAAACATCACACAGATCTTAACACAAACTTCACACAGATCTTAACACAAACATCACACAGATCTTAACACAAACATCACACAGATCTTAACACAAACATCACACAGATCTTAACACAAACATCACACAGATCTTAACACAAACTTCACACAGATCCTAACACAAACATCACACAGATCTTAACACAGACATCACACAAATCCTAACACAAACATCATACAGATCTTAACACAAACTTCACTTAGATCTTAACACAAACATCACACAGATCTTAACACAAACTTCACACAGATCTTAACACAAACATAACACAAATCACGTTAGGCTAAGTTTATCTTTATCGTTAAAGTTTACCACTTTTACCAAACGATCTATTGTGCCCATTTATCCCTCAGAACTGCAGTGTGAGAGCATTTACTACTTGATGACAATGTATTCTGCCTTGGTTTTTTTTGTTCCCTTAAAACAATCAAACCTGTTTTTATTAAAGAAATAAAATATTTGGCGTCGATCTGAAATGACTTATTTTTACTTTGACACTTCGAACGCATGCTATAAATAGATGAATAGAATGTTTTTTAAAACGTTTTTCTTAACTCAGCTTCGCGTTTGTTTGTTTGGATGTTTGTTGTTAAAATTGACATCGAAAATTAGCCCACTTCTGATTGCTCTACAGACCTGAAATTTGGCATGCATGCTACTTTCGCCTAACAATTTCAGATGCAATCATAAAAACTAGCAATTAGTGACCGTAATTAGCTTAATTTAATTACGCCCCAAGGACCATAAAATTGAGGACATGATTTCTAAAGATACCGACAAGACTTGAAGCCTATTGACACAGTTACTTCGGCCCCAATCGATGTGAGCGCGCTGGCCGTGATCGTATAGTGGTTAGTACTTCGCGTTGTGGCCGCGACAACCCAGGTTCGAATCCTGGTCGCTCAAGATTTTTAGTCCGTGTATTTATAAACACTTTTTTAAAAACCACGTTTTTCATGTGTAGCAACGGACTAAAAAGGAGAAAATAAAATACTTAAAAAAACTTTTTAAAAAACCACGTTTTTCTTGTGGACTAAAAAGTAGAAAATAACTATTTACATACATTTGATGACAAAAAACGTGGGTCGGGCAGATGGGTCGGGAAATTTGATGGTGAACGTACCCACGTTTTTTGTCATCAAATGTATGTAAATAGTTATTTTCTACTTTTTAGTCCACAAGAAAAACGTGGTTTTTTAAAAAGTTTTTTTAAGTATTTTATTGTGATTGTTTGTCTCACTGAAAGGTTTGTTTAGCCTCAGTGTGGTGATGGGACTAATATATCGAACACAGAACAAATAACACAAAAAGTTCACTCTTTAACTCACAACAAAATATCACTGACCAATCATCTGCCATTCCTCGGACCCGATTAGCTGCAGTTAAGCGCTTAGCAAACTGCATGTAAAATGTTTAAGGCACACGTTTCAAAATTGGTATGGCCATTGTATTTTCTTAGTTTGTCATTACAAGATAACACTGACCCTTGTGTTTTTTTTAAATTGGTCTCCGAAAACCTTTAAATATATTCAAGTTTTTTTCTTCCAACATGCTGGTTATTTAAGCAACACTCAGATAAGCCCCATCAATAGCAAAACAATGCACTACACTCGTGAAAACTTACACAGATAACGAAGAACAAGATGGAGTAGACACAAAGAGATTTTTTGCTTAATATTTTTCATCCCAACACTTTATTGTCTTATTTATTAGTTGAGCTCGTAACGCTTTGTAAGGGGAAACAACCAGGCTTGACCGATTAGTCGATAACATTATTAGAGTTGTTTCGCTTCACAAGGAAAAAATAAAAAAAATTAAGAAAAAAAAAAACAACCGATGTAACAATTAACTGTACCATAGTTGTGATTGTACATAAATGACGTCACACATTGTTGCCGATTTAAAATTAATTGTTATAACCCCCACCCCCTCCCTAAACTATCGCAAGTGATTTACTAGTATTCTTAAGGAAACAACATTTGGCACACTAACTTCCAATTTAGGTTGTACTATAACGAAAAGCGCTTCCTGATGGTGAACAGTGTGAAACCCTTCAAGCTACGTCTTGAAGCTCATTGCAAAGATCATCAGCAGCAACATCTTTATTCGCGTTATGCGTTAAAGACTTTTCTAAGTTGAAGTCGGTAAATCTTTCAGCAGATGACTTTCTGGGACAGATACCCATTTCCAAGATAGCGTAAAAAATTCTACGTTGAAATTCTGTTTATTATCTTGTGGTGACAACAATTATTCTCTCCATGGCTAACGAGATTTCTTATTCAAAATTTAGAGACGAGTCCTACTTTTATTAAAAATAAAAATTGCCCGTGTTTAGGAAATTCGCGCCATGCACTGGATCTAACTAAATCAACATTAAAATTAAATAATCCATCTGAAAAGTTCGAAATTAAAGAATTTTTATTAAATACAATAATTATTCCTTAATATTATAATATTGCCCTGTATATAGTTTATATAATAGAATCAGGTATTAATCAATAGGTATTTTAATAATGGCGATTACACATTTTTGCGCCCCCACTAAGGAGAGTGACCTAGGTTAGCGCTTATTTAATCTTATGGATAGCTCCGGCCTGTACCGGCTGTAAGTTGGTAGTGACTTTAACGGCTTTCATCATCGCTGATCAAAAAATTTACACTGATTTTAACGAGCCTGTTAGGAAAAAAAAACGATACTTTATAATCAACACGTTTATAACCTTGGATACTTTACAATATTGACTGTGTTTATGAAACAAATGGGGGAGGTCCTCATTCTATTTTTAAACCGTGATATATTGCACGGGTCTCCAATACGGCCCGCGGGCCGAATGCGGCCCGCGAATTCATTTTATCCGGCCCGCGACGATCTTTTTGTTTACTGAATAAATGTTTGTTGGAGCTGGCTGAGGAACTTTGCCCAGAAAATTCAAAACTATTTGAAAATGTAGCTTCGTGTTGCAGACATTGGTGAAAACATAGTGACCTCCAGCTGCAGTTTCAGTAGCGGTTTTCTGACTTGGATTCATAGGCAGAAGAAGTGAGATTGTTTCAAAGCCCATTTGAAGCAAATGTGGCCAGTTGCAAAGATGAACTGCAGCTGGAAGTCATTGAATTGCAAGAAAATGACTTCCTTAGAGACACGTTCAAAGAAGGGCAGATGGGTTTTCATACGCTTTTGCACAAGGAAGACTTTCCTAACATTAAAACTTTTGCATCAAAGTACCTTTCAAATTTTCGAAAAACATACCTTGGGGGGGGGGGGGGGGGGTGAACACTTGAAATTTGTATATATTTCTATATAAATTATATTTCGTTGGGGGGGGGGGGGAGGGGGCGGTAGACGTACTTCGGGGGAAAGGGGGGGGGGGCTCCACGATCCTGAAGAGATGCCTTAGAGAAACTCTGGCCCCCGAACTGATATTTGATAGTTAATGCGGCCCTCGGGCTAAAAAGTTTGGAGACCCCTGATATACTGTCATGTATCGCAGGGGGGGGGGCAGTCCGCGTTGAACCGACTAACATTGCTATGCTTTACAAAATGCTTGCTCAATTTTTTCCAAACAGTGTGTGTGTCCCGGAAATGGGAGGGGGGGGGGGGTAGAAGTACAAGCTGCCCATTTTAAGCCAAGGTAGCTTTTCAGTGTACTTCGATCTCCGATATTGAAGGTTTGAAGGTAAGTAACTCACGCCAATGAAGAGTGAATATCATGCTGGGGCTATCTGTTTAAAGCTTCGTGTACTTAAAGGTGTCTTTAGATATCCATAACGATACACAACACAGGTATTCATACAGGTGAGAGACAGAGGCGGACTTGAAGGTGATCTGCACCTGGACATGCCGCTTTCTTCTGTTTACAATCCAAAGGTGAGTCTCAAGATCTGTTTGTTGCACATAAACATGTGAGACACAAGATCTTTGTGTTGCACACGCACACACACACACACACACAAACATATATATAAATATAAATATATATATATATATATATATATATATATATATATATATATATATATATATATATATATATATATATATATATATATATAACATTGGTGAAATGAAGATATATCGATTAAATCAGATGGTATATATATATATATATATATATATATATATATATATATATATATATATATATATAAAATGGCGATAGAAAGATATACAGATAGATGATATCCAGACTAACCTGCTTCTAACAGATAATCCGTCTTCCATCCACAGCAACTGTGTCTGGTGCTTCTATTGATAGCTTTTGCTGGTGTGCTAGTCATGATCTACGTCATCAGACCGGATGTTCAGTTTGTGACAACTGCGTACAATAGGTGACCCGAGTAGTAGCTTACAATAGGTGACTCGAGTGGTAGCCTACAATAGGTGACTCGAGTGGTAGCTTACAATAGGTGACTCAATGCTTACAATAGGTGACTCGAGTAGTAGCTTACAATAGGTGACTCGAGTAGTAGCTTACAATAGGTGACTCGAGTAGTAGCTTACAATAGGTGACTCGAGTAGTAGCTTACAATAGGTGACTCGAGTAGTAGCTTACAATAGGTGACTCGATGCTTACAATAGGTGACTCGAGTAGTAGCTTACAATAGGTGACTCGAGTAGTAGCAATTGTTACACAAGTTCATTAAAGTTTCTTTCTGGTATCACTACTGGTTGGCAACGTTCCACCCCCTCCAATCCACTTGAACGTAATTGATTTTTTTAAATATAGAAGGTAAAACTTTGACCAGTATCCGTCACCTGGGCAATTTGTCCCCTCCTCTCCCCTTGAAAGTTGTAAGTATCTTCATCCCCCTCCTTCGGAGAAAACGGCTGAAACACTGACATTAAGTCATTAACATGATTTACGTTTTGTTCTATCCTATACATGTGTTCCTTTTGCCCTCACTTTATTGCATATATATATATATATATATATATATATATATATATATATATATATATATATATATATATATATATATATATATATATCAAATCAATTAGAGTAGCTAATGTACATCAGGTCCCTAGAATTGCTCAATGAACCTGAAAGCTCTAGATCCGAACATTTCCTACAACAGAGGAACTTACTGTCCGGCACACTGAACCACATGATGATGTTGTACGGGCAACAGAGTTGTGAGATGCTCAAGCTGAAACAGGTGTGTCATGTTTTATAGATATGTATATATATATATATATATATATATATATATATATATATATATATATATATATATATATATATATATATATATATATATATATATATATATAAATAGATGGATGCTCATGTGTCGGAACACGGAGGTTGGTGTGCTGAAGCTAGCAGCCCTGGTAGTTCAAGTCACAAGTGGGATCAGGTGGGTTTTCTACATAATATATATATATATATATATATATATATATATATATATATATATATATATATATATATATATATATATATGTATATATATATATATATACCCCCGGGTAGATGAGCGACAGATTCCTCCCACCCCCGGGTAGATGAACCACAGATCCAGAATCTTATTATGTGTACGCTGGTCAGCTTTTGTCTACTTTCGCCTTAGTTTTTCTCCATAGTTTGTAATAAGAAAACCATTTGTGTTAAAGCGATTTTCGCGTGCCTTGAGCAAGTTCTTTAAAGGCAAGTCTGTTGGGAGCTTTGGCGACGGGCCTGGGGCCTACAAGAGACATCTGGACACGCTGAAGGAGGTCAAGAGCTACACGGCTTATGATGGGGCTCCGTACTGTGAGCTCGTCACTAACGGCACGGTGAGTTGGGGCGAGGGGGGGGGGGGGGGGCGGGTGACGGATGACTGTGTGTATGTGTGTATGTGTTGGGGGGGGGGGGGTCAGAGAATTTTTCACGAGACCCTTACCAACTTTTATTATGTTACTTCAAGGCGGTAACAGCAATGAAGTTATTGGTCCTGCGTGATCCGATGGATCACGATTTGAGAAACTTCCTCACACATGATTCCAGGCATTCCAGGTTATGCATAATCGTGTTAGGAAAAATAGTCATTAAGTAATCAAATAATTAGCTACGGCCCTTCACAGCTTTAAATCGTGGTTTTTTTTTTTTGGTAATGTAAGTTTGCAAGTTCCATAAATTTGTAAAAAAAAAAAAACGTCAAATCAACCTTTGCGTAATTAGAAAATACGGGTAATAAAATTATGTTCCTTAATTTTAATTAGCATAGATGGCCACCGCAAAAGTAACTCTGATAATTCCCACTAAGTGACTAAGATAATGCGACAACCCCACACTATGTTCGATGAACATGGAAAGAAAGGTAATCCTAGTGTCAACGCATACGACTATTTTAGTTTATTTTATCTCCCCTGACAAAATAAGCCAGGGGAAATAACATAGAACTGTATTTTAACGACCAAAAAACCCAACTATATGAGATTCGAAAAAAAAAATGAAATGTAGGCTATCGTTCTATTAAATATTTACTAAAAATAAACAATACTTTTATGAAAATAGGTAAGATATATTAATATTTTTAAAATTAATATAATTTCTTGACTATATTTGAAATCATAATACTAGATTTACTACATTGTTATTGACTATATTTCATCCGGCGTAATATATCGACTATTATTTCTTCTTCCGCAAAAGATATTTATGTTTCGCTCTGACTGATTGACAATATACTAAGTGTGGCCTAAGCCAGGGGTCGGCAACCTGTGGCTCGCGAGCCGCATGCGGCTCCTTTGACGTCCAGATGCGGCTCACCAGCTCCTTTCACAAATATTAATAGTTATGCAATTTCATTTTTACTGGACGGTGGGATACGACTTTACCCTGCGTTCAGTGGGGTGGAAGATAAGCGTGGTGAGAACCAAAGGATAGAAGCGAACAATGCAAGTTTTTCAAACCTATATCCAAGCCAGTTAGTCGGCGTTTGCCGTGTTAAGGCCTGACTGGCTAATGGGGACACCTCCTGAGCCGGTGATATCCGTAAAGAAAAAATAAAATAAAAATGAACAGCTTTTTAAGTGGATTGAGATAGTCCTAGAATAATATTATTTGATTACTAATTTTACTATTCTGGCGATACATGTCTATGTTTTAATATGAATAAATAATATTTCACATATAAAGCTATTTATTTTAAATAACAAATCAACTTTATTTACCTAATCCTAATCAAATACCGAATATTGAACCAAAAATGTTGTGGCTCTTTAAAAACTGGGAAAGTTTGTAAATTGTAACTTTTGGCTCTTGTGTATTAAAAGGTTGCCGACCCCTGGCCTAAGCGATAGAGCGCTAGGCTAATAGCCTGGAAGTCTCGAGTTCGAATCAAGACCGCTAGCTCTTATGAGAAATCAATCACTTATAATCAGTAATGTACCAAAAACTTAAATAAAAGAAAAATTAAATTAAAGTTGCTTGACCGCATAAAATTATATTAATTCCATCCATAATAGTGTAATTATACTGCTACGCCATTTTAAATTTCTTTCTATTGGGTTTTTACTTAAGCACCAAATTAAAAAAAAAAAGGTTTTTAGGTTTTATACATGTTCTGTTTTTTTTTTTAAAAAGACACCAACAATGGAAGTCTGTTTTCGCGCCAATTTGTCCTCCACATTTTTAATGTTGTCACATATTTTGCTTCTTATGCAGGTGATATTCCTAGACCTAACAGTCCCCCAATACAACCTTCCAATCTTTGACTGGGTCATCAGTGTGGAGGTGGGTGAACACATTCCGGCCAAGTTTGAAGATATTTATCTGGACAACTTGGCCAGACATGCCAGGGAGGGTATCGTGTTGAGCTGGGCTGTGCCAGGTAAGCGTGGTTTGAAAAAAAAAATTAAATCTAAATTTTAGGAATTTATTTTTATAGCTGAGCACAGTCTAAAATTTTATCCCACTGTAACAAGGCAGGTAATCAGGAAATGGTTAAACAGGTTGTATTGCATGTTCGTTTTATTCCCAATCGCCCTTAGTTCTCAAGGTAAATTTAAAAGAGCAAAGAATTGTTTTCTTAGCTAACTCTGATTTATAACGTCTCTTTTTAACTGTCTTTTTAACTATCTCTCTCTTTCTGTTTCACTCTCTCTCTCTCTCTCTCTCTCTCTCTCTGTCTCTCTGTTTTTCTGTCGTCTCAGTCAGATAGCTTTTTATTGAAAAGTTTTTTTTTTAAATTTGTTTTTATTGGGCCATTTAAAATCTAATACCGAACTCATTCTATTTGCATCGATTTCGTGTGCTTATATCAGCCTTTGTAAACAACTATTGAGAGTTGCTGTTCTTTTTTTATGACTCTGTTCCAATCGTCATGAAATTAATTAATATTTGTTATTAAATAGTATTTTAGTTGTTACATTATATATTTTAAAAGTACTTTTGATAACTCATAATATTAAAATGTTACATTTTTAAAAAAAAGTTTTTCAAAAATTTTAAATGTCTAATTTAGAATCTAAAAATAAGGGATCGGCGTGGTCGAGTCGGTAAAGCTCATCGTTGCTATACCGAAAAGTTCGAACCCTCGGGCAGATGAGGCTCGTTAGCTGGGGACAGCCACTCTTTGAGGAGAGACAACTCCAAAATGAAACAACTGCTGCCTTGTAGTTTGTTCTTGGTTGGACAAAGGCTATGGAAGCAAATCCAAAAAGAAAAGCAGGCTGAAATCGGAGTCAATGGCCTCAATGGCGCATAACCAGTTGACACGTACCGCTTAATTGTGTTGGAGGCGTGGTCGAGTCAATCTCGATCCCCTTCAACACTAATAATTAAGAACGAAGAAGAAGAAGAAGAAGAAAGAATCTAAAAATGTTAATCGCGTATTCAAAACCTAAAAATGTTAAATTTGTATTTGGGTTTGAAATTTTTTTTCTTATCAACTTGGCACATGGAAAATCGAGTGTTAAAATATTTCCACAGGGCAAGGCGGGCTATCCCACGTGAACACCAAACCTCTAGAAGCCGTGAAGGATCAGATGAAGAAGAGGGGGTTCCTCATCAACCTCTCGGCCAGCACCCCCCTGAGAGAGGCAGCTACCTTCTACTGGCTGAAGGCAAACGTCTATGTTTACAACCGACTCTCGCTGAGCTCTCTAGTGGAAGAAGATGCGTAAAAACCTCACGCCATCCTCACCAACAGACTGATTGTGACACACGAATGGGCTGTAAACCAGAGTTGAAGCCCACATGATGATATTTCAACGAGTCGATTTTTGTATGGGTGGTGTCGCTGTTAGAGGATGAGTCAAGGATTGGGTTAGGGGTCGTGAATAAATTATGTCCTACACTCAAATTTGTACTGAGGAAAATCTTGAATTTGTTTACGCTGTTACATGTGGATTTCCGTTCATCACACGCCGCAGCCAAGAACATTAACCCTAACTATTGAATGCTATAGCGTACTAAGGGAAGCAACTGTACAGTTATTGATTTCTTTTTTAAAGCCACATGTATAACGATTGCATTAATGAATGGTTTGTTGATCTTTGCCGCCTTGATATGTAACATTATATGAAATTCACAGATTGATTTGTGACTTTAAACAATTTGATTTACGACAATTAAATATGTGAATTAGTATTGAAACAGCTTGATTTGTAACTATATTGCAAAATTTGATTTGTGACATTACGTGTTCACATTTGACATGTAACTGCTCTATGCTGATCTCTCCAAGTGTCTCAGTAAGTCTAGCCTCAAGCACCATGGGAAGATTTTTTATTAGCTTAGCGGTGTTGGTATTTAAGCATTCCACTTGGCTTTGGGCTAGTGCAGTAATATTTAACAAATGTCACGGCTGAAAGTTGACTTTGAAAGGTGTAACAGATGTTTTATACATTTCACCAAACCAATGTCTTACTGAGTTAATACGTAGTCACTTCATAGTGTGTCGTGTTTCAGATGTAGCTTACATATTTTTTTCTGTACAATAGACAGCCTTGGTGTAAGGACACACGATCAGACAGCCCTCTATAAGGACACATGATTAGACAGTTCTCTATAAGGACACACGATCAGACAGCCCTCTATAAGGACACACGATTAGACAGCCCTCTATAAGGACACATGATTAGACAGCCCTCTATAAGGACACACGATTAGACAGCCCTCTATAAGGACACACGATTAGACAGCCCTCTATAAGGACACACGATTAGACAGCCCTCTATAAGGACACACGATTAGACAGTTCTCTATAAGGACACACGATTAGACAGCCCTCTATAAGGACACACGATTAGACAGCCCTCTATAAGGACACACGATTAGACAGCCCTCTATAAGGACACACGATTAGACAGCCCTCTATAAGGACACACGATTAGACAGTTCTCTATAAGGACACACGATCAGACAGCCCTCTATAAGGACACACGATTAGACAGCCCTCTATAAGGACACACGATTAGACAGCCCTCTGTAAGGACACACGATTAGACAGCCCTCTATAAGGACACACGATTAGACAGCCCTCTATAAGGACACACGATTAGACAGCCCTCTATAACGACACACGATTAGACAGCCCTCTATAAGGACACACGATCAGACAGCCTTGGTGTAAGGACACACGATTAGACAGCCTTGGTGTAAGGACACACGATTAGACAGCCCTCTATAAGGACACACGATTAGACAGCCTTGGTGTAAGGACACACGATTAGACAGCCCTCTAT